ATAAAGAGTTGGCAAGTCAAATAATGATAAAAATTCGATGCAAAACATTTTTTTGTTTGGAAATTAGTGAATTACGAGGACGGATATCACGGAAACTATGGAATATAGCGAAAAAATTAATATCACTTTTTCAATTGGAAATTTTGTCAGCTTTAATTTCACATATGGCTTTATTATAGAGAGAACGCATAGTTTCACTAATGTAAGCGAAAAACGAAAAAAAGTAAACTTTTTGAATCGTAAATTCAATTTTCGACTTGAAATCCACGAGTATAGTAACTGACTATTATTTCATGTCTTAAGACTGAAAATACTATAAATTGAAAGGATTGGTAGCTTTATATATCTATAAGCCCTCTCTCTATACGTTTACAAACTATGTAGGAACTCTATCTATCTATCTTCACATGGTCGACATTTTGTATTCCAGTGGTCTCACTTCTGTTGCTTATTAGTTTGTTATTTCGTATGTTGCTTTTTCCTGCATACATGTGCTATACTAATGAGAATATCAATGAAGTAAGCATAACAGGAAAACGGTACTGGAAATCCGATTGAGTCATCATCTTTCACGGCTCTGTTTTCCTTATTGCGTGCTCATACATATGATATATTATTTATTATTATTACTATACTATAATTATCTGAAACATGTTTCCTTTAAAATTTAACGAGATCGCGTCTCTTTCTCATTATTTACATGTTACGCATCAATAAAACAAAAATATTGTTATGGTCCGATGTTGTGCATTATTCTCTGTGTGTGTTGCATGTGCTTGTGCGAAAGCCTTTCAGTTAATAGAATAACTAACTCCTATTTCAACTGTTTTATTATTAATTTTAATAAGATTTCTAGTGAGAAAATGTATACCTTTATTTACAGTTCTGCATTTAAACACTGCAATCGTCTTGTTTATTTATATTTTTTTATTTATTTGTTTTATTCCATTATTTTTCTTTTTATTTATTTATTTTTATTATCTTATTTAATTCTTTTATTTTTTCATTTGTCTTCTTCTTTTTTTTCTTTTTTTTTTTTGGTCCTTCCCTTCCTCGCCGTTAAGGCTATACGAGATTTTCCCGAGCCAGGGAGCGTGGGCGGGGATTTAAAAGACTCCCCCGGCACCGGGACGCGAACTCATGACTATTTTTGTATCTTTGATTCATATATCTGGTTCAACGGCGGTGCAGTGCACACGCTTTAGCCCATTCGGCCACCCCGCCCACACATTTGTCCTCTTCTAAGAAGTTTCTTAACTCAAGTGAATAAAAATAAATGAACAATTGATTGAGCGTTGATGACCCGAGGGTTTTACGCCTTAACTCCCAAATAAACAAACACTGCAATTACTTAATCTTGAAACAACTTAATCACTCGTTTTTATACATTTATAGATCTTATAAATATTCCAACTAGAAATATCATTAAAATGATTTTGATGACGATGAAGTTAGTCATTCTGTCAACGTAATGGTTCATAGAAAGTTAAGTGGAAGTAAAAACTTCCTCTGCAACTCAGTTCGGGAGGGACAAAATGGAGTAATGACTTCATATTTTGTTTGTGAAGGTGTTATGTTTTTGAAGCTGTTGAATTTGAATTCCAGCCATTTGGTCGACAAGATGCTGCATCCAGTCAAAGATAATAACAAAATATTAATTTTTTTTACCTTTCTTTAATAGTGCATACATACTCCACACTGCTGTAGCAGTAATATTTTCTAGAATAAGAACAATTATTATTTTAAGAAATTAATTTTTAACTTTTTACTTCCTCTTATATTTAACATTTAACCAAGCTATTCAGGTCGTAAACTTGATAAGATGGGATTGGAATTGATTAACTAATTATTAAATATGTCTCTGTTATTATCATTCATAAGCTACATAAATCTATTGCAAATAAAAAAGTTCAGTCTGTCCACTGATAAAACCTACTTAACTTTTTCTTTGAATATGAAACGTAAAATATTATATTTATTACATTATTACCAATATTTGTTCTACAAATAAAATATTTTTAAGTAATAGGTCCCCTACCTTAATAATTTCAATTTATAATATTTATTAAATATTAAACAGAAAGTATTTTAAGCATTAATTGCCATATTTCAATTAAAATAAATATTGTAAAAATATTCTAGCTTGGTACAGATTGATTGTTTTCAATTCATATCTTGCAGTTTATATTATAAACATTCCATTGCTCAGATATTGCATTATTCATTACCTATTCCAAAAAGACATATTATTATAGTAAAACATAAATATATGTATAATTGCATGTATTCAATTATAAAAATATTTTACTTATTGTTTAAAACTAAAGTCTTAACTTCGTGATTTTTTATATTTAATTTGTTGATCAATACAGTGCATAGGCGGGTAACCTTTTTTATCATTAGATGCCGCAATAAGGTTAGGCAATGCTATTGGAGCCGCAACAACTCTTCATATCTTACTGTTGCTACTTTTATTTATCATTAAATACAAAGTTAAAATTTGCAAGTTTTATTACACTAATAATAAACTAAATAGTTTCCCAGTCATGCCATATCGTATTAATAATTCCTTTATTAGTCTTAAGCTTGTTTTACTGTATTTTTTGCTAAGAAGCTAAGACAGCTGAAACGTCGGTCTTTTAGTAAATATATTGAATCTCGCAAATCATCCAGAATTTCCAAAAAAATAATAGATAAGCTCTGTTGTTAAAAACAGTTTTCATGAAAAAAAGTTATAAAGAAAAGAAAAATGTTTTGGGTCCTAACTCGCTAAGTATATATTCTATTGTAAAATTTATAACAAAACTAATAAATGAATGAGAGATATAGATAGCTAAGTGAAAGTAAGAAAATCTGAAAAACAAGCTTCAATAATTACTTTACTTTTAACAGAAATTATTGTTTGACAAAAATAGGCTATGACAAAAATTTTTTGATCAGCAATACTAGAAGGTATTAAAATTTTTACTCTGATTTACCTTAAGCCGGTTTACATTGCTTTAGTTTATCAAATAAATCGTACTCAAATCTTTTCTTTGATCAATTTTCAGGGAAACAAATAATTCAATTTGTTTTTTTTTCTCGATGGACTAATATGTAAAGATATAAAAACTTTTCTGGAGTAGGTAGGAAAGTCGTGTGAGTGGACCAGATTTTTTACTAGCTTATTCGGATTATATAGAGCCAGTCTGGACAAAGTAGCACTTAATGCGTGATATCATCGGTGACCTACGGCTTATATTTATTAATCTAGTGTTATAATAATTAATTTTTCATTATTTAAGTAACGAAAATTTAGAAATTAATATAATTAAGTTGAACATACGTATGTAGGTAATGCGATATGGTATGACTGGGAAACTATTTAGTTTATTATTAGTGTAATAAAACTTGCTAATTTTAACTTTGCAGATCACCGTAGGCTTGGTCCATTGGCCAGTCAAGGTCAACTTTTAAACTTTTTTAAAACCTTAAAAGTTCGTCCAGTTGCGAGTTGAAGTGGAAAACGGTTTTCATCATAATTTTTTTTTTTCTCCAATTCAGATAAACTATAAAAAGCAGTGTCAGTTCTGAAATATTCCATTCAGTTGACAGTTCGCTGCGAAGCTCAGATATTAATAATTTTATTTCACAGTCCGAGTAAAACCATAATGAGTGTAACTTTATATGAAATCTTGATTTCTAATTTGACATTTACACTGGTTTTAGAATGTTTAAATCCTACATATGCTTTCCATAATTCTTATATCGATATTTTAAGAGGATAATCATAATCAACCGAAAAAAATCTTTGTTCGTATTATTTGCTACGTTTCTGGCCCTCTTTTCTAAGGCGGGTAAGGGAGTTCCAGAAACCGCATTTATTTGTATTTTCTCCCAGTCCACTGATGTTCCTCAAGGTAGTATCCTAGGTCCTATTCTCTATACAGTTTATACAGCTGACATCCCTACCTATCCCAACGCTGTCATCACATCACATCACGATGACACATGTATCCTATCAGTAAATAATGGCCCATCAATTGCATCCCAAATGCTTCAATCACACATCATAAATCTTGAAGAATGGTGTCAAAACTGGAGAATTAAAATAAACTCCAATAAATCCCACCAAATTACCTTTACCCTTCGTCGTAAACCAATGACTTCCTGTCCTATAGTTTTCTTTAACAATACTTCTCTTATCCCTGTTGAGCAAATCCGATACCTAGGACTCCACCTGGACAAGCGACTAACTTGGAATCCTTATACCAGACTGTCAGCACTTACTAGACAAACGCTCTAAACTTCCTATATTAATTACAAAAGATTCATATACATGACTATAATAAGGCCTATTTGGACTTACGGAGTTAAGCTATGGGGCTCCACTAAACTATCGAATTCCTCTCGTACCCAATCCTTACAATCCAAAATCCTCAATGCCCCCTGCTTTGTTACAAATAAAACCATCCATAGTGACCTTAATGTTTCTTTTGTTTCAGATCTGGCCCAATCCAGATACCTATCCTTCCATAATAAACTTCAGAATCATCTCAACCCTCTCGTTTCAAACCTTGCTTCCTCTTCGATTCCTGATAACCCTCCGAGGCGTCTGAAAAGAAGAAGGCCCCGTGATCTCCTAATGTAGACATATCATTAGAGTGCTACCATTGGGTAGTTACTCAGCAAGTGTTTTCATGTCATTATTTCAAATTTACTTGATGTATTTATTTAATACAGTTGTAACTATCATTTAGAAAGAATAAAAAATAAATATAAAAAAAATTGTATTTTCTGTATTTAATAATAAACGAGTGGACTTCGTTTTCATCTCTTGAGAGTCTTGTAAAAGTCGCTGGATACGTCTAAGCTCAGATTCTCCATAAGTCTTTAAGGCGGTCGTACGGATTTTGAATGGTCTGGTCATAAATGATATCAGCAACCTTCTCGATGACGTCGATCCCCTAATTTGCCATAACTGACTGATATTTCATGATTTGAGAAGTTACCTTTGACGTCTAAAAGACAACTTCGACATGAGCGAACCACACCTTCGGGTTGGCTTTATGAAATGCTAGTAGTTGATTATAAGCACCACTGAAAGAAGATACCTCTGTAGAGTTCTGAGTAGATGGAGGATTACCACCGTTATTAGCTTTTGCGGTTGGAGCCTTTGAGGTATCGATTTCTGAATCTGACATTTTGGTTGCTGGGGTCACCACTTGTTGGGATATCGGTTGATAATAAATAAAAGTTAAAAGTTCCCAAACTAAAAAAATACAAATCTTTATTTCACTGTTAGAATAAATAAAATAAATGTTTCTTCTTCATAAATAAAAATAAACGAAATCAAATAAAATTCTTCTAAGAAGTAAAGTAAATGTCAACTTGAAATAAAAATAAATATTTACAATTGTTTTAACTTTTGTGATAATTGACTCGTTGACTATAGTTCTCGTGTACAACCTCTTTGACCAAAGCAAGGCCATAGTAGGCTATTTATAGAACAAGTCTAAAAATAACTTTGGCGTCATATACGCACTTCGTGTGACTCGCCAAAATCTCACGGGATGCAGTCAAAGCGGCGGGCAAAGTTTCAACAATTAAATGTTTTATTAAATGCGACAAGATAACTATATTAACAGCACTGATATCACTCATTCTAATTTCTCTATCTCTAATCTGGTGTTTAATCGATAGGTAAGAAGATTTGATCGGAGATTTAAGTATAACATGTAAAACCGCTACAGTATGTATAACTCAACCGGTTCCAGAAGGGGACCGACATACTTAAAAATATATTGATTATATATTTAAAGGCTAGATTATATATTGAAGTAGAATATCTTTTATAAAGGTATCATGTTTTCAATTTAGGAAAATTGTTAAAAATCAAGATTTATTCATAATAGATTATATTGGTGAGATTAAACGTCATATATATATATATATATATATATATTAAGCGTCATATATATATATATATATAAAACATATATTTTATACATATATATATATATATATATATATATATATATATATATATATATATATATATATATATATATATATATATATATATATATATAAAACATATATATATAAAATATATATGCCAGCGTCATATATATATATATAAAACATATATTTTATAAATCATATATATCATGTATATATAAATCATATATTTTCGTCCCGGGCATAACGTTAAACTGCGACCTGGGTGGACAGGACTCATAGCCATAGTGAAGGCAACCTGTCTAGGGGAAGGAAATCCCAAAATCAAACCACTGTCCTTGCAGTTTGAAAAAGGTTGATCGTCGGGCCAGCAGCCCTTCATCGAAAAAAAATATTTCGCTTTCAAACCCAAAACAGAAATGCATGGGAGCCAGAGGGCTCCGTGAAGGAGATTGGATAGACAGAGAGCTGTGGCTTTTGGGTGTTGGGGATATGACTCCTTAAGTTGTAGAAATCCCAAATAAAAAAAAAAATATATATATATATATATAAAACACCAAAAACCAAGAAGGAGTATATACATATACAGCTACTCTTAGAAGCGCTTCCATCTGTAACCAACCGTCTACTCCACTTGACTACACTCTCCAAGGATCTTCACAGACTTGACTCTATGGAAAATAGCAGAAGGGAATAAAATATGAAATAATACTAATAAATCATAAAGAAATATTTACACTAATATTATATAAATATTTACTCTAATAGTCGCGATATTACTATATTGCTAGATTTATTGTTGGCCATCTTTATTTAAGGCTTCTATGAAATCCTTATTTATAATTTTATAATGATGAAGAATTCGGCGATTAAGTAAATTTTTTCTTTATGTTAATTTTTCTCGTGAAATCAAAAGAAGCTAATGTTTTTCCGTTTGAAAATAAATACTCAATCAAATATAAAAATGTTTAATCCAAATTTTTTTTACGCCATAGAATGCCACCAAAAGATTCCACATTAAGTGTTCTTTCCGATATTGATGGCTAACACGGTATCAGAGATGACTCATCCATTACGTTATGTAAGTACGTCCAACAGCTACCGGCATTAAAGTCTCCCGAGCTGTCCTTGGGCTTACTTATTTCTCGTCATACAGAGATGCTACACGTGTTTATCTTATCATATTATTATTTATTTAGTAGTATTGTGATTTTGAATTAACTTTTATATCATTAACGCCCTCTTGTTGGTTGCAAGTATAACAATATGTACTCATTTCATGCATCCATGAAAAAAAATAATAAAACCTTCTTTAGTGATGATATATATATATATATATATATATATATATATATATATATATATATATATATATATATATATTGCTTTTAATAAGGAATGATATGTAAGAGGAAATCAGACTGTATAAATATCCTTTTTGGTTTTTAAGATAACATGCTACAAAAGGAGGATTAAATGACTCAATTAAAAAATCTTTAAAAATTTAATTTAACATAAATATTTCTAATAGGAACCATAAATTATTACACATAACATAAATAATCACATATGTACAAATCAGCATAAGAAAATAAATCGTTCATTAACATTGGTTTCTAAATTAAAATTAATCTTTATTCAGGCCAAACTATATCTTCAATCCATCCTATATAAGAAGACACTTTTGTATAAACACCAGGAAGGTTTGTTGTCAGAGAGCAGTTGGCACCGAAAGATGTTACACCAATTTGAGTGTACATGCACGGAAGGCTATGACGAACTTGAAGTGGTCCTCCAGAATCACCCTGCAAAATAGGATTCAATTAAACGGTAATAATCAAAATAATGTCTAAGAGGATTCAGTGTAATGTTATTTTTAACAAATATAGTCGGCGTAAAAAAAAATTACGTTATGTGAAGAAAAGTTTGAAAGGATTTTTTTGAATATTCATAACATTTTTATTCAGGAGTGTTCATACTCCCTGCCCTCCAAGGTCGATGGTGCATGAATCACTCCTTCTCTGTCGAGAAATGTTGTTGCTCTCCTCTTCATAGAAAGATTGCAAGCGAAACAAGAATTAGAAAAATCGTAGACCGTATACCGTATTATATTTGCGGTAATCTCTCCCATGATTTCTCTCTAGGTCTCTAGAAAATTTTTTACCCCGTCGCAATGTGTCCCCCATAAAATTTCAAAACCTCGTCAAAATGTGCTCCCATCAAAAATTTTCATGCCGCAACTTGGGCCATCTCGAGTTTGCCAGTCGGATAATGATCCCTGAAAAAATGTTGACTGATTTAAAGAATATTAGACCAGTAACTTGAAGATTGAAATGAGAAATTCATTGTGAAAAATTTAGAGAAAGCTTTTATTTTTTTAACTTGAAAAAATTGGGTTTAAAAAATTTAAGAACAAAATTGCTAACGCGGGCCAACTAGAGAAAACAATTTACAGTAAAAAAATTTGTTTTTTTCTACTTTTTTTTGTGAGCGATGCATCGAAGCGAAAAACGTATTATCTAAGAACGCTAAATTGACGTCGAACAAGTACCTAAACCTGATAATTTGGTTAAGTTGTAAGGTCAATAACGCCGGTCAACGAACGCTGATTTTTACCAAATTTGTCAAAAACTGAGACAAATTACTATAAATGGCCCTGCAGCTAGGAAATGAGTTTCCTCTCATAGAAAAAAAAAAACTCATAGAATCAAAGTTTTAGAGCATCAAATTCTGTATCTACTAAGAACCAACCATTTCAATATAGGTCACTAACTCCGGCCAAAATCGACCGTCTCCCAATGGCTGGAAATCGGTAATGAAGGTATGTGTGGTTTTCAATATTTTAACTCTATCGATTTCTGTTATACTGAGTTGTTCTTGTTTGAGTCTACTATATGCAGTATTGTTTTTTTTTCTTTTCCAGCTTTCGGCAATGAACGATTATGAGGAACGAGTTGTCAATTGAACCCACTTTTGATGAATAAATAGCAAATAGCGATTCCAGAAATATAATTGACCTACATTAAAAATATACTCAGTAGAAGGGGAATTCGGTGGTTTACAACTTTGATTCTATGAGCCCCTCTCAGAGAACTTATTTCCACGCTACAGAGCCATTTATAATAATTTGTCTCAGTTTTTGACAAATTTGGAAAAAGCAGCGTTAGTTTACTGTGGTAATCAATCAAACTACTTAACCGAATTATTAGATTTCAACACTCAACTTAGTGTTTAAACCGTTCTTGGCATATCTGATATGTATTCCAACGGTCCGACCTAACTCTCTCTTATATTTTTATATAGTATTATCTTTTGATTGATGAGAGTGTTGTGTTATTTAGCAACTCAACACAGTTGTTGGGGCAGCAACTCAGCAGCCGTACAATGTTGTTATATTTCTCTCTGTATATTGTTTATATTTCATTCTATAAACAATCCCATTCGGCCACCCCGCCCACTATTGAAATAACCTGTTACTGGAACACGTTATCATTTAGTGACTGCTGACCTGTCACCTGTTATCGAAATTTCACAATTAAGCCCATCACTAATCCCCCCCCCCAACATAAAAAATCCATCAGGCCATTATATGAGAGAGATAAAAAGCCAAATAAGGAAAAGTATAACGATATATTTATAGTTTCTTGATAAATTGTCTTGATATTTTTTATAACTTCTTAATGCTTATTCTATAAGTTATAACTTGTATACAAATATAACATACCCTGCATGTGTCCTTTCCTTCAGCATATGCACAGATTGTATATTCAGGTAGAACTATTGGCTTCTGTTGTTTATCCTTTATTTGTTTATATTTTTCAGTACATAAGTCTTTATCCTCAATATTCAAATTAACTTTTTGAAGGATGTCTAATGATTTTTGTTCTGAAATTTGTTTTAAAAATAAGTTTTTAATATTATATATAATAATTCCTCTAATAATAATTTATTTATTGTGAGATAACATATTCATTTAGAATTATAATGATTAATAAATTGGTACTTCATATCCTTCAATTTAAAATAAATGTATAGTAATAAAAAATGCTTTAAGTATTTAATATGTAATGTTTTTTATAATCCATGTCTGTACTACTAGTAGCCCAGGAGCCAAAACCTAAGGTATGAATATAAATTACGAAAGTGTATGCTATTCTAAAATGAACTCTGTCAGGTGTTTTTTTTAAATGGTTGCTGATTTGAAGAATATTAGGCCAGAAACTTGAGAATCGAAACAGGAAATATATTGGGGAAAAACTATTTGTTTTTACTTTCCTACCTATAATAGGTAAGAAAAATATTGCAATCGGGTCAAATTTACGATATGCGGTTTTCGGCGGATGTATACGTTTCAGAGCCCTCTAAGTCCGAAAAACACATTTTTAGCCGTTGGTCTGTCTGTGCCAAGATTTTCTCGGGAACTACTGAATCGATTTTGTTGCTCCCTTTTTTATTTTTAAGGGTTTTGACTACTGATGCCTGTGACAGAAATTCGGTGCTCCATTTGCAATAGCTTGCGCGCAAAAAATCAAAAACATGTTTTTCAATAGACTTTAGCACAAAAACGGCTCAAACGATTTTGATGAAACTTTCCTATAATGTCCTAATCATTGTCCTTTCAATTTTCGTATATAGACCAAATTCTCGAAAAAAATAAGGAAAAAAAGTTATAAAGAAAAGAAAAATGTTATGGGGCCTAACTCCCTAAGTATATATTATACAGTCAAATTTATAATAAAACTTTTAAAAGGTAATTAAATCACCAACAAAACAAAAAAAAAATCATCGGAATCGAACCTGTATTATCGATGATACAGGTTATTCAGAGCACCCCGATTTTGAAAAGTAATGAAATTCCCTACAAAGCCATATAAAAATCGTTCATTTTGGACAACTGTTAACGAAGTTACAGCTATTCGATTTCTAATGTATGATTACGGGTTCATATCTTAGTGTCAGAAAGGGGTGAATAAGGGAATCAAGATGACTAAGTGATAGTAAGAAAATCTGTTACCCGCACTCAGTTCACTATTTTCTCAACTTTTAATAATTATTGTTTGACAATACTAAGCTATGGAAAAAAGTTTTGATCAGAAATATTAGAGGGAATTGAAATTTTTACACTGATCTACCTCAGCTCGGTTTACATTGCTTTAGTTTATCAAATAAATCGTATTCAAAATCTTTTTTTTGATAAATTTTCAGGAAAATAAATCTAGTTCAATTCTTTTTTGTTTCTTTATGAACATATGTAAAGATATAAAAACGTTTCTGAAATAGGTAGGAAAATCGTTTGAGTGGACACACCAGATATTTTTACTAGAATATATGGGCTCAAGCATTATATTAACTTGTTCAAATTGATCAAGATTGGTCAACTTCGCTGGGCGGGCCTATACGGCTAGAATACCTGATGACCAAATTCCAAAGAAGCTCCTCACTGGAATACCTATTCGGAAGATGGCCAAACGGAAGGCAGAAGCTGCGCTGGCTGATGTAGCGGCTGACCCATCCTTTATATTCGAGGATGAAAATCGGCAGCTCTGATCAAAAATGACAAGCGACTGATATTACAGGCCTTGATCCAACGTGGGTTGTAGCGCCAAAAAAGAAGAACAGCATCCAATTCATCGTCCACTGAGTGCTAACGTTTTTAATGTAAGTCACTTACTCCGGTAGCAATTGGCTATTTCTGGATGGCTCGAAATTGGTTATAATGGTACGGGTGTTGAACAGTATGGGTATTTATTCTAACCGGTTTACAGGAACGTATAAGTCTAATACTACAGTAGACTCCTGTTTATCCGTCGTCATTGGGACCGAAACATCGCCGCCGGTTAAGCGAGAGAGCCAGTCAGTACAGAGAATATGAATTTAAAAAAAAAAAAAAACCTGCAAAATGTTTAAAATTTTATCATACAATGACACAACAACTGTTTGTCCCACTAGTTAAACGAAACCTGAAATGAAAAGAAAAACCTAGTACAAAAACAATAATTTGTACTAAAACTTTTCCAAGAAATTGTTTCATGACTAGAGACCGAATTTCCATGTTATTGCAGTTTTTATTTGCTTGCGTATTAAAACTCCGAACCCGAATGAATATCTATCCGTTTCAGGACCTGTATAATAATATATTTAAATTTTATATTGCACGTCTTGCTGTTTTTGGCTTAAATTGCACGATTTTGATGTTTGTTCCATTAAATTGCATTTCTGTTATAAATTAGACGATTTATAAATACAAATGTATAAGTGAGTATGTCAATATTTATTTTACTATATTGTTCAAATTAAATTCATTGTTCAAATAGAAAAATATGAGGAAAGCAAATAATTATGTCTGAAGCAAAAGACTTCATTACAAAAGGAAGTAAACACAAGTGAGACCTATTCTTGGAATAGAACTTGCCCAAAGTATTGGATAATAAAAAGCTGCTTTCTTAGAATTAGCTGCTTTTTAGTAAGGCATTTATTTGATCACTTATAACTATTATTTGAACACTTAAAGATCTCAAACATTACAGTATATTTCAAAATCTTTTTAAAAATTCTTAAAATTTTAACAAAAACGTTTTGGAATGTATAATATTGGAAATTTCAGCTCTATTAAAAAATAAAGTTTTCATTACTTTTTTTTTTTTAATAAAAGTTAAATATTTAACATTGGTCTGGTCTATATAATATATAGGTATGTATAATTCCTGCCTTCATTTATTCCTTCTTACTTTGAATGTTACATTTCAATTTTTTTTTTTTTTATATCTGGTTAACTCAAAATCTGATAGGTATTTTTTTTTATTTATTTACAATTATAACAATCTTTCACGTGGACAATAGTATATAGTGATACATGAACACATTCCCACCATATATACAGAAAATATAAAATTGATTAAAGTAAAATAATAATCAAAAACTATGTACAATAAAAAATAAAATAACCTAAAAGATAAGTAAATTAAAAAATATAAAAACACAGTCATACCTATATACAATATATAAAATTAGGCAGGGAACCCTAATCCAGGTAATAATAATAATAATAATAATTCCCCCAACTATAGAAGGAAAAGCAGGACTCAAAGAGATCCCTGCGCTACTCTCTTAACCGCGTCACTAGTGCTAAAGCCAGTGGAGTGATAAGTATTAATGCTATAAATTAAATAATATCGACGATTTTACATGTTTTTAGGTATCAATTACACAATTTTACGTATTTTGGATTTTTACTGCACGATTTTGCACATTTTGGGTTTTTTGCTGCATGTTTTCCGAATTCTTACTGCAACAAAATCCGGTCTCTAATCATGACTAACGTTGATAATATACGCAGCTACATTTCGGTAATTACTCAATATTTATTCTTTATTTTTTGTTTACATCTTTCTATGAAATAAATGAAGGATAAGGATTTTGTTTCAAAAATCAATTTTACTTCGAATAGATTTTTTTTTATTCCTGTGGTTCGGTCAATTGTATAAAAATAATAAACAATAACCTTTTTGTATACATTTCAATCTATTTAAAATCTGTCGAACCGCAATACAACAAAAATTAAATTTATAACTAGTAGTTGAGAATCTGACAAAGTTAAAGATGTTTTAAAGAGTGTTAAATTATTTTTCTTATTCAACTGCTACTGCCGGTTAATCCGAAGAGCCGGTTAAGCGCAAGTCTGCTGTACTATAATGTAAGACGGTTAATTATTTCAAATAAACGAAATTAAAGTTACTCAAGAGAAAGACATTTCAGTAACCATTTACCATGGTTATGAATATGTTTACTTTAGACTTTTAACCACTAATTTTCTGGTGAATTGAGCTAATTTAGATTTGTACTTAATTTGGCTGAAAAAAGCATGTTAACACCACAGAACCTATTTTAAAGAATAAAATGACTTTATAATTTGCCTCTGAGTTACAGATATCACATGACAATTATAAATACAGATAAAGGATCTAGGCTTTTCTATGTGTGTTAGAAAACAGCAGTGGAAGGTTATGTCTTCTAAGGTAACATTTAAATCCTCGTTGGATTAATAAATAATAACAAACAGGGGAAGAAATGATTCAAAATTAAAATGTAGTATTTATATTAAGTGTTGTCAAGGATATAGAAGCCCTTATAACAAGGAGTATTCAAAATGAAATATGTTTACCAAAGAGATATTATCTTTTTATGTTGTATTACCTTTGTTGAGCCCAAAGCCAGTTGCTGTCACCGTCATGGCATTGAAGACAGAACCCTGGGTATCGAGGCAGATGGGTCGAATGGAGCTTTCGGTTATGTTGAGTTTAGTTGACAATTTAAAAAGCGCTATGTCATTTTCATTGCTTCCAGCAATGTAATTTGGGTGGGTAAAGACCTCACTTATTGAAACCACATGATTTTCAAAGAATTCCCCTGTGTATTCCATTTTATGGGTTCCAACCATAGCATAGCCGTATTCCCTAAAATATAATTTAATTATAATTAAATATTTAAATTTTACGACTAAACAAAACTATGGGGTATGCTTAAGACCACAAGATAGAAGTGAAAACATCGAGAGTAATAATTTTTAATAAAATATAATTATAATAATGTTTTTTTTATTCTATATTTATAAAGTAATCAGAAATATTTACAATATATACAATTATAATTATGTATGAACTATTTTTGTTCTATATTCACAAAGTATAATATTTACAATATAATTACAATAATTGTAATTGTGTATAAAGGAAGGACATGGTCCGAGGTGGCGATCATAAATAGGCTAAATAGTGGCAAAACTGTTTTATTAAAATCCAACGTTTCGATCCGACTTTGCAGGTCATCTTCAGGGCTAGAACGGACAAGATACAAAAGCATAACAAGATACATAAGATACAAAGCATTTTTATATCTTGTCCGTTCTAGTTCTGAAGAAGACCTGCAAAGTCGGGTCGAAACGTTGGCTTTTAATAAAATAGTTTTTCCACTATTTAGCCTATTCATGACTGCCACCCCAGAATACTTCTTTAAAGTATTACTAAATTCCTTACAAAACAAAAAGAAAACAATCATCGAAATCGGACTATTATTAGTAAAGATCCAGCTTATTGATATTTGTAAACTTGGGGGTTCATAACATTAATGAAATTTTGAATTGATTTTTCCATCTTAAGATACGTTGCATAATGTACGAATTATTCTTATAATTTTATGCTATTTCTGTTCCTTCATTAAACAATATGAAAGTAAAATGATCAAACGTGGAATTATAAAATATCGGCAAATCAAGTACTAAAATAATTTGCTAACATTTGGTTCATTTTAACTTTAGGATTAATAATTATTTGTACAATTAAAGGAATTTAGCATTGCATTGACGTCTAGGGATGAACCGATTTTATGGCCCAACTACTCCACTATCGATTATTACCTTAATCTAATAAAAATGTTATTATGTTATGATAAAATAAACAGCTATCGTAAATCATTCCTAGAACAAGAATGATGATTGTAAGTACTCACTTGGATAAAGGACAGTGAGCTGCACTAAGAACAAATTCCGGACTCACTAAACTGCCTCCACAAAACCAATTTATTTCGCCCAAATCATCTTCCACGAAGTTGCCCAGTCGAACCTAAAATATAATCATAGTTTTACTTAGTTATTTTATTATTTGTGTTATAATTATCAGTGTTTTAAAATTGTCAGGGTACTGGTACTTTCAAGATTGTAGACAAAGTACACGACAAAACATATTACTTATAGAAAAAAAATAGTTTCAGCAATTTTCTATAGATTCATCAGTACTCTTTTAGTTCATGGTACTAAAACTATTCAAAACAAATAAATTGCCTTAATATTCAAATGCTTTCACTATTGTGTTATTTTTAAATTTTTGATTAATTCAAATGTATAATTGATATGATATTATAAATCCTATTAAAATATTTTTTTTGTAAAATTTATTGGATTCCGCAAATTATTAATAAAAATAAATTCCAAAATTTAATATAATTAATACTTTATAAATGGAAAATATCCAAACTACAAAGCCATGAGTCTTCAAATATCAGGTGAATAGTTAACTTGCCAACGTTTCGGCATCATCGTGGCAGGAAAACAAAGATCACTTATATGGAGAAAGAAAAGAAAAAGAAGACAAGAAAATTATTACCTAATGTCTCTTTTCTAGTTTTATGCTTATTTTATAATATTTTTGTGAAATGGCCGTGTATCCACTGAGTTTTGTGGGAAATAGAAGTTATATATACCTTGAAAGTTTTTGTTTTTTTTGTAATTTATTAATTTGTTATTTTATTTTATTTAACACGTTCTATGTTATTATATTTTAGTTATGTATGCTTTTTTTTTTTCTTTTCTTCATTTCATACCTAAATTTTTTTTCTGCTATTTTTTTTATTCTGTTCAATAAAAGTTTCCTTTAATGTGTTAATAGATCCTTCTTTTTCCTTGAGTATCTATTTAAAGGCTTCATGAGATGTTTACAGCAACATGGAAACGGAATGAATGAAAACGTGCTTATTCCCATAAAGCCAACAAAATATAATATTCATATAAATCTAACAACACATAGACAATGGAAAATTCCGTCTCTCGAGGTATGTGTGATGTTTCTACAAAACATGTTCCATTTTATATCTTTAACAAATTAATGAGTAATAATATTTTAACATTATTATTAATGATATTTTTAAAAAATTTCCCAGTTCTCTAATTTTCAAAAATAAAGTATTTCTTAGTTTTATTTTTTATTATCATTATAATGGCGCTACGGTCCTGCAAGAACCCGGGCCTCCTCCACTACAGCCAACCAATCTCCACGGTCTTCGTACCCCCGGCTGCCTCAGATCGTCCTCAACATCCTCCAGCCATCTGATCTGAGGGCACCCTCTACTTCTTTTACCATCCGGCTTCTCATACAGTATCCACTTTGGCATTCTTTGGTCTGGCATTCTTTCCACATGACCTATTTGATTCTAGCTCTTTTTATCAATGCCACAATATCAGGTTCACCATAGAGTTCTCGCAGCTCCTCTTTCTGTCTTCTTCTCCAAATCCCATTCTCAAAGATTCCGTCCCGTATTCTTCTCAATACTTTCCTCTCCCAGGAATTGAGCGTACGTTCGTTTATTTTTTTTTTTTTATACAAATATTAAAAGTTAGCAAAACTTGACCAAGAAGCAATGATGATAAGTAGTAATTACATAACTAGATAAAGTACATTTGATAATAAATAATACAACAATAACAAACAAATACTATCCATATCAAATAAATAAGGCATTCCAAAAATCATTCACGAAGTGACAAGTTGGGCTCTTTGTAATGTGGCTTACTGTGTATTATTAGTTACTTAGGGCCTTCAAATTAGCACCTCTCAATATACTAAATAATTCCTTCCTAATAGCTTTGTTGTTTGGATTTTTCCTTTATGTCTGTTTTCTGACTTTATAGTTATTTTGTAGAATTAATTAATTTATATTAATTTTTAATTCAGTGTTAACATTGATAATCAGATAAAAAAAATGTTCGCTATTCTATGCATGAACTAACATTATCTAACCATTCTTATATTGTAAATATGTGAAGACATTGACGATGTCAGAGAAATATGTGAAATTTAGAAAAGGAATAAATAAACAGTTATTCTAGCAGCAGATTTTAGGAGGGGATCAGAAGTTTATTTGAACCATGGATTTTTTTTTATCAATAGTCCAACTCTTCCACTGTCTCCTAGATAAAATAAAATGCACTGCTTACCATATGTGGGAACTCGTCTTCTCCGGCATCTTCTCCTCCTTTTATTAGCGTTTCCGGTATTTTACAATTAATTTCTTCGACTTCCGCTGGTCCAAAAAAACTGTGGCTCGGAACACGCTTAAAAGCCGTCTTTCCATAAATCTTACACACTGTAAAGTTTTAATGAAATAAAAAATAAGAATTTTTTATATTCAAGCATTTATTATATTTGTGAACATTCCCACTATATGCTTTTAATATGTAAAAAAAAAGAAATCAATAAAATAAAAATCTTTCTTTGAATCGAAATTGTTATATGTGGTTTATATTTAGTATGAGGAACTTCCATACTTATTAATTATTTGTTTTTACTAGTACTTATTGAAACATTTATTTATAGTAATTATTGTTGTAACACATACTAAATTGCTCATTGTAACACATAATATATATAATACCTACTTTCGTTTGCTTTTTCTCCTGGAGTTCGTTTAGGGCGATTAATTATCACGTTTTGTTCTGTTAGAACCAGCATGTTGGGAGGCGCCATTTCTTCAAGGGGGCAGCATACAAGGGAGGGATCGCCTCCATTGCAAGGTTCCAATTTGACACTTGTTAGATTGATTTGGCACGAGTCTTTACGTTTACATATCCCAGTGAGATTTTCGTGTTTGCATGTTGCATTAAGTCCTGTGAACATTAAATATTTTTTTAATAATTTTATTGAAGACATTAAAAGTAGAATTAAGAAATACTTTCTACTTGCTAAAATTAATTATGCTCAAATAGCGTTTTCCCTTTATACAAGATGGCAACTATCTCGTGAACTTAAATCCAGGACGTCGACCTAGAGGGGCGCGTGTTGAGGGTACCGATCATCAAGGGATCTCGCCACTTATTACAAATTTCCACTAGCGGATCCAGGATTTCATTTTGGGGGGGGGCTTCAGCCCGAAAGCTGTTTTTTTCATAAAAATAACGATAATTGGAAAAAAAGAAAGAAACTAACTACCTGTATGAAATGGTGTTCAAGTGATTCCTAAAGCCCTTTTAAATGTAATTACACAAACAATAATACTTTAAGAGATACATTTTTAATATTTATTTCGATAAAACATGGCTATATTATACCATTTTGGGGGACGGGGCTTCAGGCCGAAAGCCCTCCCCGTAGATCCGCCCGTGAAAATTTCTACAAATACAGAACGTATTAAAATAGTTTATCTTAGCCTATTAATAAAGCAGCTATAGGCTTCTTCGTTTTTCGTTATTTTATTAATGTTTTAATAAACTAAATCTAGATTTATTTTAACAACTATTTTATTTATGTTATATTTAATTACCGTTCCCTCGTGTGGATCTCATTACCGCGCAGGAGAGCATCCTACAGTGGCGGATGTGGGAAGTTCTAGGAAGTTCCTCCCGGCAAAGTCCAATGGTCTCGCTGACCAATAATGAGATTAGATCTCCAGATTTGCTGAAGGGTGTGAGGAAGGATTCTTAATTCACAAAATACCAAACAGTCATAGATCTTCTTAAGGTAAAACTTTCATTATCCGGAATAGTGTTGCCCAAACGCAAGATCAAGACGAGACTTAGTCAGTCTTGGCTTTGCACACTCAATCATGGTCTTGGTATTGGTCTTGCAGTTATCTCTTAGCTTATTGCTATTTATTAAACATGTTTCTTTAAATCTAAACACAACAGAATCATTTTGATTTTTTTATTTAGTCTCTACCAGTAAGGGCCATTGGCTTATTGTCTCAATTTTATATTCTTATCTTATATATTCTTATTTTATATTCTCAATTTTATATTCAATTTTTATATTAAAAGTCGATTTATTTTAAATATTTTAACAGTTTTCCTATTTCTTTTTCCTCATCTTGCAGGATTTCTTTTATTTCCATTCCCATTTTCCGATTTTCTCTTAGAGCAGTGTACCTACTACTCACTTCTTCTCGTCTAGACTTTCGGTTTGATGTGTACCATTTTATACATTTTTCTTTTTAATTTGTTTAGGTTTTTCCCAACTCATTTCACCATTTTGAAAGGACGAGGCAATTTTGTGTATTAAATCTTCTCGGAGAATGGTCTCAATTATTGTGGCTTGTAGAGTTTTTTTTTTTTTTATGCCGAGCAGGATTTGTAGCAGCATCGACTACCTTGCGACGCCAATTCTTGCTTAGTATTTTCCTTTTCCAAGTCTTCAGTACCGAAAATTCCCCCTATATCCAATAACTCCTTACACTACGCTCCTCTACCCACTCTCTTAATACCAGATCTCAACCTATAGATTTATATATCCCCGCCCATAAAACCACTTTCTTCAGCAAATCCTTCGTCATTCGTGCAACCTCCTATTGTAACTCCTTACCTATCTTCATACGTCAGGAAAAATCCACAAATTCCTTTAAAAAATTCCTATTCTTTCACCTACTACACATTCAAACTTCCATTAGGTTGTAAGAATTTTCAGACTATGTAATATTATAATTGCTTGCCAACAGTGAATTGATAAGAGCCATATTACTTTTATTTTTCTCTCAGTATTTTTTGTATATGATTGTATTTTTCTAAGGTTCATTGTATATATTTTTATTATAAATGCCAGACTGTTGTATATAAATGTTTTAACTCTGCTGTTATTCAAAAGGGAATTTAGTCTCAGAATAAAATTGTTTTTCATTCATTCGTGAAATTTATAATTTTTAATTGCAGGAAAAACAGCTGTTATAAAAGATTGTTTAAAAAACATATGTTAATTTTTATTAGTTAGAAAAATTGTGTGTTTTTATAAAACTCTGCTTTGTAAAGTTTGCTAAAATAAAGTTTTGTGTTTTTTTTTTTAAATTGCATTCAATCACTACTTTATTTACAAGTTCTAATTGTTATACATCTTTTATATTATGGAAAAATATTGACATAAACATAATAAAGTCCAAAATACATTATTTTGCATTTTTAAATTTGTTTTTGGTCATTGTATAAAATTTCCCTAATCTATTTTATTATCAGATATGTCTTAATAAACCTACCCAAGTGGCTGTTCCAGGAATAATATCAGTGATGTTTAAATGAGTCATGCTCACTTCCCATCAGCTGGGGAATGTGTTGTTTTTCCTTGTGCTCGATCTAATCGACTCTAAAAATATCCTCTGCCTTGATCTGTGGAAACCTCATCCAAAATGTTTACGATTGCTTAACAAAAGAATATAAAATAATAAGTTTTACACGATCATTTTATTTTAATTGAACGGCCTGAAGAATCTTCTATCGTTTCATTATCGATATTTTTAGAACTTTGTTTTTTTTTAACTATTTTTAGAACCGTTTTGCATATAGCAACGGTTACCAAGCCTTATTCCCAATCAGAAACTAGGCACATTAACGATCTCTTCTAAACTTGTTACTACTTTAGTAACATATTACTAATACGTTATGTCTCAGCATAACATGACGCAGACTTTCCATTTGGATTGGGGAAGGGACGATGGAATCCCCAAAAAAGTCTCAAGACTTTATATTATGTATATAAATTCTGACTGATAATCAACATTATTATTGTAAAACGGACAATATAATAAAGCAATTGAGTATCTTATATATTATTTCTAAAAGGTGTTTTTTGTCAGTACGACATAACTTTGTCAATTCTTCATATAATGCAATGATTGTCTCCTCATTTTGAAAAAAAAATATGTTAATCGAAAAATCGTCATATCTCCTAAAATTACTTTAAAAAAGGTCATGAAAGAAAAGAAAGTTTACATGCGAATGAATAAAAAAGAATGCATTTTTTTCTATTCAATTATACCTATAATTTATAGAAAGATTACTAAATTACCTTCAAAAGTAAAAATCGGACATTTATTATAAATGATACCGTCCAAATTAGATTTGGAATACTAAATAATGTCTGCATCTTTTAATATATACTTTATTTATTTAAGGCTTTTATAAATTTTTTTGTTCCTACTTTTTATAGTTTTAATAATTTGGAAAATACCTTGATCGAGGCTTTATTTTGAATATTAGCTTTACAGTCAGCGTTTAAAAATAGACCCTCAGCCAAACAATTTGTACAATTTTTTATATATTAAATGGAATATTGTAATCGACCAAGGCAAAACAATTAATTCCTCCCTCAGATAATACATAGGATCTACTTATTTCTAAATTCTTTAGCTATTCCTTTACTAAACAAAATTTTCTGCGAATTATTCGCACAGGCCAACTAGTATTACATATTTTTATTTTAAGGTTCGAGGTAGGGAAATGAACTCTCAATTATTCAATATTTCAAATTTACCACGGAAAGTGTGATAAACCATCACTTAAAAATGGAAGGGTGCATAATAATGAATCATAAAATCATAAAATATGTATAATTATTATACACATCTATACAAATGTATATAGTGTAATATAAATATTATGGATATGAACAAAGTTCAATAATAGGAACTAAATACCTACTTCTTAGCCATCTATCTAATTGATTTTTCATATTTTCTTAATTGATTTGAGTTTACATTTATGTGGATTATTTGTTATTGATTTTATTTTCATATTTTAGTTCATCGACCTATTTAGCGGTGGGGGGGGGGGGAAGCGAAACGATAATCTGGTCTCCTCTCTATTTTTCCCGCCCCCGCTCCCGAGGTCTAATGTATGTCAGTATTAATCCGCTTTTAAATTATAAATCGGTAGCGTTTAGCTGTAAACAACCTTTCTGAACCATTATTAGGATAATAAACAATATTTGTTTTTAGAATTGACTGCTTCTGTTGAAGATATGCATCTAATTGCTAGATAACGGTGATTATCCAAGTATAGTATTTTATCTCCCTAATAATATGTTATTATAGATATCGCTTATCCGCCGGAACTGTGAGGTAGAAATTATACAACTTACAGAAGAGGCGAAGAACTAAAATGAGGTACAGTCACGGCCATGGAAATTTCATCACCCAGTAAAAATTTTATTAAATTTTATTTAATTTACCAGATTGCTAATAGCAAGATCTGATATTTCTTTGCTAGTTTTGAAACAATATCGCATCGTTTGTTTATTTTTGTTCTTCTAGTTTTCTTTCTTTCGCTCCATGTGGTGGCTTTTCCTCTCCTGAAAACTATTACTATCGTTGATTGATCGTACCATATTCTCGTTACTATTTCCCGTGAAAATTCCTTTACTACATCTGACGTCACAATTTTAATATATTTTGACGATGACAGTTTTTGATACCGGTCATAATTGCAGCTTTTATCCATTGACATTTGTTAAAACTGAACTGAGAAACATTTTTAGTTTTCTTGTAATCTTAATAAGTAAAGATAAACAAAAACATTCAATGGAATCAGCGTTGTTAACAACATAACAATAAAAAAAAATACATGATGCAATGTAATTAGAATTATTATATTAACCATATAATTTTTAAAATAGATTTTTCTAATGTAAAATTATTTTATAAGTTCAATTTTTTTGTTTTTATTATATCAAACAGGGGAGTCAACAGTCAGTGATTCACCAATTTCAACTAATTTTTTTCTGCGATAATACGAAATTTTACATTGCGATCCGAGATGTATGAAAAAAAAAACAGCGAAATTCCAGAACTTTTTTTTTGTTTTTAGGACATATCTTAAAAACCATACATTTTATCAAAATTATTATTATATATAAAGTTAAAAAAGATAATATTTACTATCAATTATATAGTAGATTTTTTATGTAGGGCTAACGGGTGAGGAGTAGGAGAATGTTTACTATTTGTTTATTTCACAAAAATGTCTGTTTTCGTCGGATTTTCTCCCAAAACGCTTAATATATGCATCTCTCGAAGAAATTCATCATAATCAAATTGAAAGAGCATTAAATTTCCTATGTAGCTCTTGTAGACACGTTAATATGTGAGTGGGTTAAGTGGCTGTTAAAGCGTACGGAATTGAAGGCGTATTTCATCTTTAGTATCTGTCACACTCAACCTGAACAGTCCGACTAGATTATCGCGGAAAATGTAAAAAGAATATCACGTGAAAATGTAGGGTTGATTGAATCATAAAATTCTAGGACATATTGATATACATATAATGTAATTTAATATAAAAGAAAATTTTTAATAAAAGTAACATTTAGGTATCGATAAAATAGTTACCTAGTCTAGTCGACTTTTCATAATCGATTTTAGTTTATGCATTTTATTCATTCTTGTATCTCATTTTTTTATTTATTTAGCGCGCGCACACATACCCTCCGTTAATTCATTTTCCACCTAAATAAACATTCTTCCTTTTTTCTTCTTTAGTCAAGCATCAAAATCTTTCATAATTTACATTTAGTATTTTAATATTACTGTTAAATCGATTATATAAAGTGTGATTCATGGTTAAATAATCTATAAAAGTTTTTGTAGCATCCCAGGCATATACCTAAATTAAATGCGTAATATAAGTTTCGTAAGAGTTTTCATTTTTGAGCTAAGACACGGTCATTTCTTTTACTGTATCTATCATATAGGGTAAGTCAAGGTAAATAAAAACGATATTCCATATATAATACAATATACCAATATTCAACAATACCTAGTATGGTCAGCTTCTTAGTCAAAGATAACAGAATGTGTTATGGTAAACATAAACACCAATATTGCTGAAATTTAATCGTTCATAATACATACATGATCTGATTTTAATATGGCTTCCCACTGTAAAATAAAATATATCGTTTAACTTTACCAGATTTTCTATTGTAAAAAAAAATACAAAGGATCATATTGCTGTCTTCACTAATATATTTCTCTGAGTAATGGTCCCTCAAATCTTTAAACATGGGGCGTATTATTAAAAAATGGAAAAAAATAATACATTTTCTGGCTCTTGGAAGTTACATAACGTACAATTTTTTTTCCTCCTTCCAGTTTATAAGTCGTTCTATTAAGATAAAATGAAGGTTTTATCAAATCGGCCATCCTAGCGGATCGACTGTTCTGTGTTGAAGAATAATTGTTTTCATATGCAAGTATTGTTCTCCATGGTTTCGGCAACTCGTATATCTGTATTGTGAATTATATTTGGAATTGCAGATTAACTTTAAATTGTTGGAAACGGAGTGATTTTCAAATCTATTTATAATGTTCTTGAGATTTAGTTGAGCACTGATTTTCGTTATGTGCTGATTTTTTTAAAGAAACATCGTCCATATATATCTAATTACATATATTACACTTTGTTAATTTTTTCTAACAATGGCGTAAATAACGCATCCGAAACACCTGCGATGCGGGGGAAGAAGGAAGAAAGGAAGAAGGAAAACGTGCCCATTCCAAGTAAGACAAGAGCAATCAAAAAAAGGAAAAAATGATTGGAAGGATTGATTTGCATCGTTGAGGAGTAAGGAGATTGATCATTTCAACTGAGGAATAGGATGAGTAATGCAAGTTTAAATATTCTAAGAATCCTGAAAAATAAACAATTTTATCCTTGTTGCGTCAGCCTTAATTATTTGTAGCCTTAGGATAGTAGTAAAGTTGCGGTCTCCTATTTGTATGACTTTTTCCTAGTTTGTTTTTGTTTTATTTTTTAAATTGGTAATAATAAAAAACAGAATAGTTTAAACATATAAAAGATATTGCTTATATTTTTACCTTACATAAAATAAATTATTATTTTATAATACATTAAAATTGTATAAAAAAAAAAAACTTTTCTTAATATGAAATATAAATGCTCCAGCTAATGTGATATTTGGTATGTTATTTTCAATAATGAACTATATAAATCGACCAAAAAAAATATTATTCTCCCTCAAAATTTTAGATTATACGTTTCACGACAAGTAGAAACCTAAAATTGATTTAAAAAATTCATTCCTCGTTCCGGGCATTTTCTCAGGCACTACTGGACTGATTGTTAAGATTAAAATATAAGATATATATGAGCCTTTCAGTTGACAAAACGACTAACTCAAATTTCAACATTTTTGAGTAAAGTCATTCCAGTGATATTTCTAGTTGGCATATTTATAATATCTCTACAGATAGTGAGTAAGTTGATTCCAGGGTATGTGGTTGCAGTGTTGAAATATAAATAAAGGTTTAAATTTTCCCTCTAGAAATATTACTAAAATTAGTAATCAAAAATGTTGAAATTAGAGTTAGTCATTCTATCAACTGAAAGGCTCATATCTATATTAAGATTAAGTATCAATTCAATCAAAAGTTTCCCGATGATCCTCTTCACAACTCGGCATTTATCATACGCCGTTTCGTTTCACAATAGCGGCCGACAACGTTGATTACAATATACTGTGGCGCCAAAAACGACTGTAGCAAATTTAGTGAAACTTGCCTAAACTCTTCTCCTCGAAATATCTGTATATTAGTTGGCTCTTACGAAAATATCGCACAGCATATTTATAATTTTGTTTTCCTTAAATTTCCGTAAAAGGTGTTGCTAATTTTTTCACCTGAAGGAGAAGGAAACCTTATAATAATGACGTCTCAATCTTAGGATTTGATATGGCTTATCGACAAAAGAACACCTTTGATAAACAATATACACTCCTCCTCTCACGATCATAGGGACCTAAACTCGACGAAGTATGACATCTATTCTATGTAAGCACTACACTTCACAAGAGCTTGGGAGGCTGGGAACCATTTGTCTTAGTTATCTCAAAAATTTAACATTTTTGAACTTAGTATTCTCATCAAAATCTTCAAATCCCCATGTGTCCCATATCGATCCTCCGACTTACCACTGTTCCAGGATTAAAGCCTAACGAAATGCATATATCGACTTTATTTATTTTAAAATGAAAAATAAAAGCGGATAGTACGTTTCACTAACGCACTGTGGACGTTTGAATCCAACGTCATGGCATTTGAACATGACAGGAGTTTATATTTCATACAAATCCGATTTCGAGCATTACTGTAATAATATATGTGGGGATGTTATAATACATTACACCGAAAAGCAGTTACTATAAATGGCTCGCACACTTCAACTTCACAAGAAAAGGATAGGCTCCAGAGAGGCCGCTGGAACGAAGAGGAGCGAAATAAGAAGCCATGAACAGCTGATTATAATATGATAATTGGTCTCATTGCAGGATCAGGCAGTTGTTTGTGCTATGAAGTATTACAACTGCAAAAACCCGTATTGCCTCAATGGCACGGTAGGGTTCAAATAAATAAAGTTACAAAAAAATGTAAAATTTTATTTGCGAATAAATAAAAAATTAGACACATTTTGATCGATTATTAGAGACATATAGCGTTTTTTTTCTTTTTCTTACGTTCTAATCTAAAGCTTATTTTAGTTTCTGATAACACGGAAGTACTTCTACGGAAGCACTCGTGATTGTTATTCGAACAATAATTCAATTGCCTTTATTATTTTAACAAAAATGAAAAAAAAATCTTGGAGAGGCAATTTATTTTTATATTTAATCTTTATCAGAAGTGGTTAGGAATACACAAACGCACCTTACATATTTCATATATAACCATTCGGAAATATTTAACCGTTGTGTCATTAATTATTTTTAACAAACGGATGTTACGGACGTGGGTTCACTGATTTTATTGAAACTTTTTTTGGTGTTACCAGGTCCAAAAATATTAGATCTATGCCTGAAAGTTCTTCCCAATGAGAAATTTTTTTATATAACTTTAAACGAAATTAATGTTACTGATTTGTGCCTTTACCTTACCCGGGCTTTTAGGTTTGTTTATTTTTTTGTTACGATGTCTCATCAGCGCCCAATCAACTAAACAACACTACTTTTTTTTTATACTGTTTGGATGGTTGATACGAAAAATATAAAAAAAGGGATAAAAAATAAATAAAAGGATTGACAGGATTAAATAATTAAATAAAAGTAACAATAGACACTTATAGATATTAAGATAGAATAGATAAATAAATAAACTTTTAAAAAATAGCAATAAAATCAATAAATGAATTGAAATTAATAAACAAATGAACTTTTAAAATAAAAAAAAAATGAAATAAAGTAAATAAATAAAAAAAATAAAGCTGCAAAGGATCATTAGTTATAAACTTATAATGTATGTTGTTTAAGTCTTTCATTATCTAGAAACTTGATAACGATTTCTTCCTGATTTCCCAGGGATGCTGATATATTCTGGGGTATTCCGAGATCTTATAACCTTGCAGTGTAAAGGGAACTCTTCCATAACATGTTTTATAGTTAATGACTGGTCACACTTTTGACATCTGGGGATAAGATCTTTTGTTATGATGTGGAGGTGTGTCAGTCTAGTATGTCTTATCTTCAGCCGCGTGAGGACGACCTCTTCTCTGCGACTGCTGCGTCTGGAGCTGGTCCACGGTTGCACCTCTTTTTTTATTGTCTTTAATTTGCCGGTGATATAATAAATATGACTTTTGTTATTTTAATAGTATTTATGATTTTTTAGTTATAAAATTTTAGCTCGGTTAAAACTGAAATTAAAAAAAAATTATACTAGCCCAATACGGATAGAAAATAATTTCTATTTCAAGTTGAGCGGTAAGTGAAAATTGTGTATTGCGCGCACCAGATTTTTGGTAAATTCTTTAGAATATAGTTAGTTATGAGATCGAGCCCTGGAGATTTTCGATTAACATTATTAACATTAAGTAAATAAATAAATAAATTGAAATCTACGATATAGTGTAGTTATCGATAAAAGACCGAGTACCATAAGATAGGGCACTCGCTAAAACTCCCCCCAGCCTCTCTCCTCCCCATCAATTCTATAGAGTGAAATATAAATACTCACTTAGGACTGGTTCTTCCCGGCCACCTCCGCTGGTGAGAGTCAATATCAAGGCGACGAGCAAGAGGATCGCTGAGATGGCGATTATGGCGATGTGTACCGCGCGCATGTTGGAGCGACTGTTGTAGCAACGACCAGTCCCAGCGACTCCTCTCTGCAGCGATGACTGGCGGCGAGTGATCTCCCTCCAGCTCGCCGAGCACTGAGCACGAATCGGTTGGGTGCGTCATCCGACCGCGGGGTATCCCCTCAGGATCACTGGTCACTGATCGGGTATCCTAGGGAGGGGGGGAGTGTGATGGGGAATTTGGAACGCCCACCGCGTCCTAGTGTACGCAGCGTACAGTGTAAATATACTTTAAAACGTTATCAACATGGTCTGAAAGCCTTTAATTAATCAATTCTGCTCGATAGACAGAAAATCATCAAATTACGAAGCATATTGATAATTTATGACACATTTCCTTAAAATGATCTACAATATATCCGTACATATATTATTACAGTAAGGCTCGAAATCGGTTTTGTACCAAATATAAGCTCCTGTCATGATCAAATGCCATGAATGGGAGACCGTTGGATTCAGAATTTCACGGGGGGTTAGCGAATCGTATTCCCCACTTTTGTTTTTCTTTCTAAAATAAATAAAGTCGATACAAACATTTTGCTAGACTTCAATACCTGAACAGTGGTAGGTCTGTAGATCGATACAGGACGAATTGGATCTAGAAGATTTTGATGCGTACAGCAAGACTCGGATAGTTCCTCTGGAACTATCGGATCCTGCGTTTTTAAGCCCAAAAACGTACTATTTTCGAGATAACGCAAGGTATAGGGTTCGCATCCACACAACTTTACATTAATTGTAGTACTGTCATTGAATACAGGTCTCATTTCGTTGACTTGAGGTCTCTATGATCGAGAGAGGGGGGTTTATATTATTCATCGATGGTGTTTTTGATCGGCAAGCCATATCATCGTCAATTTTTCACTAAATCTCGAGATTGAGCCACCAATTTCGAAGGCTTCCTTCTCCTTCAGACGGGCAAAATCATCCCGAAAATTCAGGCAAAAAAGTTATAAAAGAAAACAAACTTTATTTGCGAATAACTAAAAAATTACACACATTTCCTTGTGATTATATAAAAGATTACTAAATTCCCTACAAAAGGAAAAAAAATCATTGAAATCGGACAATTTTTAGCAAAGATACAGTTTACTGTAATTTGTAAACATGTTGGTTCCAAACAAAAATGAAGATTTAAATTAATTTTTGTTTTCTTTGTCGATTATATTTATCGATAAAGTAACATTTGATTGCTTTATCTTTTGATAGGCTGCATTATTTTATTTTCCTATTAATCTGGCATTTGATAACAATATGCTGTGCGAATTTTTCGCACCAGCCTACTAGTCTATTTATAAAACACGGTAGTTTATATCTCTTTTCTGGCTCTCGAAAGCGATGGATTTTGATGAATGGGGTATCAAAAAAAAAAAAAAAAAAGACTTTCATTGAGAAGTGACAAATACTAATTTAAAACCTTCTAACCTTTACATGCCTTCTCACAGATCTGCTTCATTCCAAAACTCCTTTATTGCTCGCTCTGTCAATTTCTGGAATTCTCCCCCTATCAAAATTCGACATTCCTTATCCATATCCACATTCAAAATCCTCATATTCAAATTCCTATCCAAAAACAGTTATTTGCCATCAGATATTTGCCAACATTCGACAACATACATTTATTTCATGCCATTCATTGTCAAATATCAATCCTAAATGATAATGTATTTATATATTAATCAGGCACTTAATATTGTCAGATTCAGCTTTCTGTTTTCTCAACAGAAGCACTAATCTTATTTTAATAAAGAATTTAATATATTTTTATTTTTTTAATTCTTTATTGTTTTCTTAAAAGTGTATACTGGTCTATCAGTGCAAATAGCTTTAAGTATCTTGTCATAGTGTTAATTGTTTTGTATATAGTTTCGTTTGTTTTGTTTATAGAATGTTTACCTTATAATTTCTTTACATTATTTATTTTTTTCCATTGATTTTATTTTGGCCAGATGTAATCTTTTGATTCTGTTCTATTTTGTTGTTCTTAAGGGACTGTGTCCCAAAATAAAGTTATTTTCTATCTATCTATCTAAAACTTTACTAAACCAACTAAAATAAACCTGGAGTGTTCATCGCACAACTGTCACTTCCCGCTCAACTTTCGATAAAAATTATTTACTAGCAATGTTGGGCTATTACTGAGTTTTTTAAATACATGTTTAACGGAGGTAAACCTTTCAGCTGATCTGTAACAACTTATTAAGGCCATTTAAATAGCACAAAAACTATTTATTACATCGACGGTAGCCAATAAAAACCTTGTAACTTCATCTGTTTTTGTAAACCACATAACTCCAGTCTCTGTGCTATGTATATCTAGAGAGATTTGAAAGTACATCTGTATATTTAATTTACATTTAAATCTATATATTATTATTGCTTTATACATCCATCAAATATTCTTATATTTCACTTCTTCTTTCACACAAATACAATGAAATAGTTAATAGCTCATTACAAAGAGGATTAAATGATGAACATTTCCCTCGCTAAGGGGGACCCTACACGGTCAATCGGAATTGCACTAATGACGTTCCGAATTGTCGTGTGAGGTAGTGAATGAAGAAATGCGGATTTCCGAACATCCGGAAATCAAAAGTTCATTCACGAGAAGTGATAGGTTAGGTTGCCTAGGCCTCACAACCATTAAAAATTTCTGATTTTCATTATATGTAAATAGTTAAATAATTTTTCATATCCCTTGTTTATAATTTTAAACCATCTTCAACTATTTCTTTTAAATAGTCAAGTGGGCAACAAATTAAAAAAAAAAAAAATGAGGAAACCTCAAAATTTACTTTAGGAAAAAAAAAACTTTAACGTTGTTTATATTTATCATTTCTTTTCCCATTTTCCTCAACAAATTTATTATTTTCGCAATACCTTTCCTTAATTTTTGTAAGTAGTAGACTTATATTTTACTAACTTTTGTCAAAACGATTTTCTATGAGACTAACCTTACTACTAGATAGGTTAGTTTACCTAAGTCTCGTTATTAAGTAAATAATTTCATAAAAGTAAATAGTTGTTTATATCCGTAGTCTATGTTATTATTAACCATTATCAACTATTTTTTCTTTAAAAAGTCAACTAGACAATAAATTGGAGAGAAAAAAAAGTGGAAGCTTCACAAAAGTAATGATCAGTAATGATTGAACGTGTAAGGGTCTTCATGATAAAAGCGATAGTGGGCAATCTTTGAACTTCTTGTGATGTTTATTCATAAATTACCGTGTAGGATCTGCTTAACAATATGCAGATCCGATTGTTAGTTATTAATCCATATGAAAAATCACTTCAAATGATCGGTTCCAGCCGACTTTACCCAAGCGTTACTTATCGGAGATCTGACGGCTAAATCTAATCCACTCTAAATGTCTTTTCATTTAAAAAAATAAAGTGTTTGCCATTCATTACTGATTTGACAGATTGTTTAACGACTTTCATATAAAAGCATTCCATTACCTAACGCTACAAAATAATTATACAAAAATAACCTATATTAAGACCTAGTAGTCCGAACATTATTTAGTTTATCACAAACAGTCTTGGTTTTGGTCTAACAGTCTTGCAGTTACCTATTAGCTTGTTAATTTATTTTTTCAGATAGCAGAAGTACACTGGTTATACCAATTCTTTACATATAGCATATAGTAACTAAAACAGTCAAGTATTAGTAACTATTTTTCCTTAATTTTTATTCAAAAATTCATTTATTTTTTTTTTTACCTATCTTGGTCTTGGTCTTGGTCTTTGCAAGAAAAGGCCTATTTTGGGCAACACCGATATTAATTATTACTTTATACCAAATAATAATTCGATCTTTTACTCGGTATGTCAAAGTTTTGGAATTTACATCATAATGAAACGCTATTAAATATGTGTCAAGTATTTTCCAAAAATAAATTATATATTTTAACGTTTTCAAAAATTGGCAGTTGTTTATTTATCATTATCATATATTTATATGAGAACGAACATGGTATGATAACATGGGACGAATAGCATTACAGCATATACAATGGAAGTTTCCTTATGGGGCACCCTTTATAATGCGGACGGGTTGATGCAAGTATTGTGATTATTACTTTTCTCCATAACAGAGAGGATAGAACCATTGAAGCCAATATTCTACAACTTCAAGGACATCGATTCTATTTTTAAAAGTATAGCTCAATTAAATCTATCCAGAGGATTCGGTTTGGCAGTAGGGAATATAGTTTTAAACTTTCGCTGTTAGTGCACATGTTCATATGTAAGTGTACGTTAATATTCGTGAATTATTCGCTCAATTCCTTGTTTTAAAAAGACATTTAAAGAAAAAAAAAAAACTCAACAATTTCAGACCATAGCGGTCAGATAACATTCTTTTATCCGGAGGAGTCGCCTTGAGAAACATGTGCTATTATAACATAACTACGCATTTAAATTATCGTGCCGCCATGGTTTGAGTTAAGTACAAAACAAGAAGTTGTTGAAGGATGTGCGGTGCTATTGGAAGACAATGTTGATCCTGAATTATGATCCTGAGTACTTTGAACCATCGAACTTAAAAACGGTGCAAATGAATACGCATTCGTTTATTTTTTCCAAACAGTTATGTATCATATGTAATGCACTGCTTTCTTTGCCACAGGAAAATAGAAGGTGAGATAACTCGATTGCTTCAGGTGATGTAAGGCAGTTTAAACATCAAAACAAAGGATATTAGTTTTGCAACATAACGTATGGAAAATTTTTAGAACACTAACAAATCGTTTTATTTCAATAATTTTTTTTTTTTTTTTAATTTCAGAAACTTTTAAAAGACCAATTCAACAACTACAAAAAATGTGTATACTTATTGATTTCGTCGAAATCCTTCGTAACTGTTGACCAAGACCGCCTAACTGTTGCAAGACCAAGACCAGAGACTGGTAAAAAAAATCGGTTTTTTAAAGTAAAAATTAAGGCAAAATAGTTACTAACACTCGACAATTTTAGTTACTATATGTTAATAATTGGTATAACCAATATACTTTTGCATTTAACTCCTGTATTTTTTTATTCGGGCTTAATTAAGTTTCTCCTATCTAAAAAAATTACAGTAATATCTCTATTGTT